GCTCGCAGCATGTCATGTCCGCAAGTTCAGATGAAATCCCCCTCTCTCTTTCCCTCCCCAGATCCCTGCCGGCATCGCCGGTGTGCGAAGCTCTACAATTTTATGTAGGGGTGCAATTACCCATACGTGTGTAGTTCCAAAGTAACCCGTTTTGTGATGGAAACGTGCATGTCAAATCTCACATACGTGTTAAATCCCACAGTCACGTCACTTTGGGATATATATACCTCTGCACTTCATAACATTCATTCCAGAAGCATGCACCCAAAAAAGATTACCCACTATTTTGTAGGGTGGTGTTGGTGGTGTTCATACAAGTGCTGCCCACTTGCAGCTTCAGGTTGAACTTGTGGCAGACCTGCGCTTGGGGCAGGAATGTTGGTCTCAATATATAACTTTTGAAACAACATGAGAGGTTTGAGGGCAAAGGTTGGCAATTGTTTTTGTCTGCATCAAAAATCAAAATATTGAAAGCTGCAGTGTCGCTGCCAACAGGAACTTATGTAAGTCAATCCCGCATGTAGTCCTAATATGTTGGACTTTACAACTTCGGATTGTCATGTTGAACATCCGAGGAAACATGCTGGACTTGTCGCCCACAAATTTGCAAGTCAACCTAGTTGGTTGTATGTTTGGGAGGCTACAGATTTGCAGTGCATGTATATAGCGATTTTGTCCCAAATTCAGGTACCCGTTCTTTTCCACATGTTTTGGTCACCTATAAAGAGCCTCCCTCTTGCTCTGCATGTATGCCCCAAATGCGCAACAAATGGCAGGGCAGAGCAAGCTCGCCACAACTGCAGGGCCAAAAGAGCTCGCGCTCGCATTTTTTCATCATTTGCATTCAAGCAAGTCGTGAATCATGCATTCATGCATGTTCAAAGCCAAAGTGAGTTGGCCACTGCAACGATTCGCGTTGGCGAGAGACGTCGATATATCACGCAATCATCAATGCAAGTCAAATCACATTTTCAGCTGAGCCGCATGCACTCACAAACAATGACCTCTGGGTCAGTTTCGTCACAATGGATGCCTCTGCATCCTTTGGTTACAATGCCGTGTGTGCAAACACATTAAGACAATTGGCACAATGAGACATGGTCTAGAACAATTTTGCCAAGCTGACAATTCACAATGACTCTCACAAGTCCGCACAGCTGACAATTTTTTGGCCGCTCAAGCTGAAATTCGCCTATATTGTCACGAGTTGCAATGCTTTTACTGCATCTCAGCACATTCAAGTTATCATGTCTCAAGGTACGTACTGATGGTCTCCTCACCCATTGCTTTCCTGCACTGTTGGCACATCGGCCAGTCATGTGCCAGATCATCTACCACATCATCGTAGAACCCATTGATGCTACGACCACAAACAAACTTGTCATCCATCCCTATGAAGTGAAGGACCCCTGAAACCTGGTGTTGCTTGAGACGCCCATCGGCCTTTGTTGCAGAGATGTAAATCTTGTTCCCGTCGAAGGCTTTGTCGACCATCTCATCAGCCTCAAGCGCGTCATCCACTTCCTCCACATCATCATGGGCCTGAGCATGGACGCCATAAACTGCGTCTTCGTGATCTGCCTCCAGATCGTCCAGAGTATCTTTGAGTTCCATCTCTTTGTCAATCCTCTGAACTCGAGGCGCATCAGGGTCCAGTTCCCCTCGAGCAATCTGCTTCAGGAGCTTTGCAATGATGATCTGCAAAGGGGTTATGTTATCCCTTCCATAAGTGAGGGGGCTTGCCAGCCCTGCTTCTACATGGTGTCCAAGAACCCGGCGCTGATCAAAATTCATCAGGCCAAACAAGGTTACCCATGAAAGCAAAGTAGTCTTGAGACTATGTGTTGTCAAACTGTCACCTGTTCGACAACGCAACCCAATGACTGCGCGCAACCACAAAACCCCTTCACCTGTGGTCATGGGTCTGGTGAGCCAGCGATTGGATTGTTCACTGTATGCAGGCAGCACAAACTGCTTCCGACTCTCGGCAAACTGTCGTGACATTGCATGTACCCAACGCTCACCCCAAGACTTGTCAAACCTGAATGCATGGCCTAAAGCCATCAACGGCAAAAGCATTGTCTTGCGTTCCTTCGAATGCGCTGTCTTATGCACACTCGTCCCTGCTTCAATGAGCACAGTTCCACCATGCCGTGAAATTGCCATGCCAGTCACAAACATTGCATCTGAAAATCGGCATACTGCAAGAAGACAGAACATTCAGTATCCAGCTATCACCACAATGTGAGGTTGCCTTTCTTCCAAAATTGCATCTTCCAACGCACGCAATTCAGGAGCAAATAGGGCCCGGGCTTGTTGCAGCAACCGTTTCTGGAGGAACATGTCTTTTGCCACGCCATTCACTCTCGGACTCAAACAAACTGTCATCTCAAAATTGTTGAACCCAAACATGGAGTAGAAAAATCTGACAGCCTGCAAAACTGATTCACCGCTAGTGGCACCTTTGCCGGAATCACGCATCCAACACAAATAATTGTAAAGCCGGCGTTCTGTCAGGTCCAGACCAGTTCCACCACCCTGAGCCCTGATCCAAGTGAACAGTGCAAACATGGACTGAGTCCTCTTGTAAATCGTTGCAGTAGACTTACCTGTTAAGACATCTCTGATTGATTTGCTGAGTGCCCCAGGCCCAGACTTGCCACCTTCAACCGTGAGCGCCAGTCGAGTTGTGGTCCGGTCAGCATCCAACATGACCTTGATCAAAGAGAGCGACCTGAGCCTCATGTCATCTGGAGACACTACACATGCTGCTAGTTTCGCCCTCTTCAGAGTATGTTCCAAACAAGATGTCTGAGTTGGCACAACGTCCACTGAATCACATCCTGCATTGTTTGCAAAGTCCCTCATACCAATTGTAGACTGATCCAAATCGGGCCAGCAACTGGAAAAGGCTTTTGACGGGTTCAAAACTGGATTTTTATCCCATGGCATTTTGATAGGTTTGGTCAGCTGTTTCAGCACCGCACTGCTGGCAATCTCGGCAATGCCTTGGGCTGCCTTCCAGGACGCGGTCTCACCCCCTTTTTCAGCCATCGGCATCTTGAGGATTGGAAACTGGAACAACAACAACGTCTGAATCTGAATCTGAGTCAATCAAGAAGATCACAATGTCAATGCAAGCAATATGAAAAGAATGAGACGTCGACTGCAACTGAAAATGATCCTGCCAGGTCAAAAATGCCCAAAATTGTAAATTGGTTCCAGTATTCCAGCAACACAATGTGGCTCGCAAAATGAGGTCAGCACGGTGATCACGACGTGGATCCCAAATGATATCTGACATGTACTAAGGTTCCAAACTGAGTAGCCAGGCTAACAAAACTGCAAATGTGAGCACACCTCCACTAAAAAATGCCAAGCACAATTTGCATGTTGGAACAGTACAGGAAACTGGTTTGAAGGCAACTGGACTACGCAAAAGTGTCTGACCACGAGCCACTGCTCCAGCCATACGCTGGGTGACAGCGAAAAACTAACCGTGCCGCCACACCCGTGCTGAACAGCCAAACTTGAGCCAAAATCAGTTATTTCACAAACAGGAACTACAGTACAAAACTAATAGGTTCAACTATCAACTAGTTGTCCCTATTCATTTTCCAGTTTGGTTTGTTGAGTTCACCCATACCAAATGATCGGTTGACATCAAAGTCAGTGTAAGACACCTGCACAAAAACCATACAACACATTAACCAGCTCACGTTCCACACAGTTACTCTGAAAGTAACAGAGAACAAACAAATGACAGCATCACATTTGGTTTTTGGTTGAACAACAAAAAGGCCAAAAGGCCACAAACAGGTTTAGAAGTTGAAACTTCCAGATACAAGTCATAACTTCCAGTTATACACAGAAACTTCCCGCACAACAGAGGTGCAAGTTACAACGCAAGACCACACGCGTTAAGGAGGAAAGAACAAGGACAGTGCGGCTAACAATGCGTATCTTACGCGAGGCACACAAGCGCGTGAGTGAGAGGGCAGGGAAGTAACAAGAGGAGCACAGGAACATAGAAGGACGTTGACACTGCACACCTAAAGATAGTGCTCTCAACTACGTTGAACGCATCCAGCCCCAAGATAGGCCCACATAGCCCCAAGATGGGCCAACATAGCCCTCAACATGGGTCAACATGAGGCCAACATAGGCCAACATAGCCACGAGATGGGCCAACATAGTTGGGCCCCTGGCCGGCTGTCGCGCGTAAGCGCTTAAATCCGGCCAGGGGCCCCCTGGCCGTGTCCTTGCCGTACGGCAGTTCTCTCCTCTCCGTAGGAGAGAGGGGCTGCGCCCCCTGCCGCCGACCTCTCCCCAAAAATTGTCATAATACCATTCCTAGGATTTATTTCACATAATATATCATCATCATCATACATCATAACACATCACCTTACACATTTTCACCATATCATCATAAATCATTTTTTCACCAAAATGTTCAGAACGAGTTTTCATAACAGCATACAACATAATAACAATAATCATAACAGCATACCAACCATCTATACCATGATACATTACCGAAGTGCGCCAGTGCCCCCTCAAACAAAATTACAACAAACAATACCCAAAACAAAAACAACAACCCAACAAACAAAAAAAAAACAGCAAAGAACAACATAAAAAAACAAAACAATAGATTATAATAAAGATAAACCCCTACCCTTTAATAATCCTATCTTTTCTCCCGCCCACATCCCAGCACACACCATGACTCACACCAAACCTCATAACCCAGCACCCAGCATAGCACATACAAAAAAAACAACACAAACAACAACAAGAACAAAAAACAAAGCAACCAAACAGCAAACAAATAAGCAATACCCAAAACAAAACAACAACCCAACAAACCAAAAAAACAAACAAAGCAAAGAACAATATAGAAAACAATACAACAAACAAAAACAAACAAACCCCTACCCTTTAATAATCCCATCTTAGACTCGCAAAACTGAAACTGTACCCTGACAGATTTGCAACTGTACCCCCACAGATTTGAAACTGTACCTCGGCAGATTTAGGGCATTAAGAAGCAACTCTAATCATTTTTGGGAAATCTGTCGCCCAACAGATTTGAAACTGTACCCGCACAGATTTGAAACTGTACCCGCACAGATTTGAAACTGTACTCCTCACAGGTTTGAAACTGTTTCCTCAACAGGGTGCTCCCTGTCCCCCTTACAGGGTATTCTCGTTATGAAGGGGGTTTAATCATTTTCGGGCAACCCTGTCCCCTCAACAGGCAGGGTTCTCCCTGTCCCCTCAACAGGGTTCTCGCTAATTCCATTTTCAGACCCTGAAAACGGCAAATATCCATTTTCAGGCAATGAAAACGGCATTTTCAGACCCTGAAAACGGTTAAAAAGCATTCTCAAGCAATGAAAACAAATTGTTTTCAAACAAAGAAAACCCCAGACACAACCCCACCGGTATCCCAGTATCAGATAACCCGATACCCCCGGCACCCCAGCGTGGCACAGCACCGCACCCCAGCACACAGCATAGCATCTCACACAGCATATAACAAAGCAAATACAAGAAAAACAGCAAAGCAACTGCAAAAAGCAAAAACAAAAGCACCCCAGCATACAACACAGCACATAGCACAGCATACATACAAACAACAGCAAGAAAAACAACACAGACAACAACAAAAGCAAAACAAAGACAACAACAAAGACAACAACAAAAGCATACACAGAAAACAAAAACAAAGCACCCCAACAAAACCCGCAATACACAAAGCACCTCCCAAGACAAATACAATAATCCATAACACAACCCGAAACCCGAAACACAAAGCACATCCCAACACTACATCCAAGCCCAAAACACCGAACAAAATCAAAACAACCTCCTTCCCCCACACCTCACATCCTGCACTCCCCCCTACACTTTCAACCCATTTCTCAACCCGCCTAACAAATCAACCTTCCAAAACACTAAAACACAAAGCACCTCTCAAAAACCAATACAATAATCCCGGAAACAAAGCAACTCACCAAAACAAATACAATAATCCAAAACATAACCCAAAACCATAAGAACCTCCCAACCCCATAACCTTGTCCATTCTATAACCAATATCCTAATGAGGTGTGGGGTAAGACCCTAATAGAAAAAACCCAAAAACCCATAACCCCGAACTGGGGGATGTCGGACTTTCCTCATTTTGGTCACGAGCGCGCTGCTCCACTTCACTTCGGAAGGTTCTGTTCAAAGCACACAACCCATTGCTCAATCTTCTCAGCCATCTCTGGCTGTTTCACTGTCTGCACAGTCTTCCACTTATCAAACTGAAACTGCGGAACGACAAAGAAGAATTTGGCTTTGCTGTCATGCTTCTTGCAAAGTGCATCCACAATCTTATACGCCTGCGTCTTCGTCACGTCCATTGCCTTGCCACTGTCATTGAAGGTGATGTCATGTGTATCGGCAATCGTCAGCTGAAAAACGCCCTGTGAGGTCCATGAGTCAAAGGCATGAAAGTTTTTGCTCTGCGGCTGGTAGTATTCGCCATCCTTGATGTCTGCTGCGGGATTGCCCGAAATCAGCACTCCTTCAAGACCACCTTGGAGTTCCTGTGTTGTATCAGACCCCTTCCCGTCAGCTGTCAAGCATCTGGCTCGGAGCTTGAACTTGCCGATGGACTTGTCCTGCATGAACTGGTGGAACGCTTCCTCAAACAATGCAAAACCGATGCCCGTAATCATTCCTTCCCGCATCCTGTTCCAAAGTTCTTCGGAGTTGTCCTGTCTGTTTTGCTTCACCAGCTCTTGCCGAACATAGGGAGACGACAACTGCACATCAAACCAGCTGAAGTCTGGCCATGGCATCATCTTCACCAGCAAGTGAGTCCTCTTGCTTATGGCTTTCATGTCAGACGATACTTTAAGGCATTGCATCGCATCTGCTGACTGCACGGCCTCTACGAGCCTTCTTCGGTCGACGCCTGCCCTTGTCTCGTCCCTCTCCAAAACAAGCCTCGCAGTGCCACCAAAGATGCCGAAGCGTTCCTTGACAACCTCCTCATTCAGCTTGTGTAAGGCCATGACCTCTGCACTCAGCATCTCCGTCAACGTCCATGGTGGCATAAAGAACTGCCCAGAAAAGCGCTCGGCTTTCTTGAAATGCTCGGTGTTGAAAGCCGCTGTCTCCGGCCTCCGCGCAGAGGTAATCCACAAAGACTGGCAAAAGACCGTATGTGCCACATCAATGTCGGCATCCATGATATACAAAGCTTGTGCAGGGGCTGACCTCAAAGTCTTGACATCCACCTCTTTGGGCTCTTCGCCCTTCTGAAACCGATGGATGATGTCCCCCTGGTGCAGAAAAACTGGGAAGTCTTTAAGCTCACTGTCTTGGAAGCGACGCCAGATTAAATATACCATAAAATAAGGCTTGCCGATCCCAGACGAGCCCAGCAGCGACATCACGGGGGGCTTTTTCCCGAGAGCGCCTGCGAAGGGTTCTTCGTAAAAAAGCAGCCGTTATACTAGATCTTCACTCCTTCACATCTGCTGATCTAGATCTTCACACCCTCACACCTGCAGATCTAGATCTTCACACCTTCACACCTGCAGATCTAGATCTTCACACCCTCACATCTGGACATCTAGATCTTCATCCCTTCACACCTGCAGATCTAGATCTTCACCCTCACACCTGCAGATCTAGATCTTCACACCCTCACATCTGCAGATCTAGATCTTCACACCTTCACATCTGCAGATCTAGATCTTCACACCCTCACATCTGCAGATCTACATCTTCACACCCTCACATCTGCCGATCTAGATCTTCACACCTTCACATCTGCAGATCTAGATCTTCACACCCTCACATCTGCAGATCTACATCTTCACACCCTCACATCTGCCGATCTAGATCTTCACACCTTCACATCTGCAGATCTAGATCTTCACACCCTCATATCTGCAGATCTAGATCTTCACACCCTCACACCTGCAGATCTAGATCTTCACACCCTCACATCTGCAGATCTACATCTTCACACCCTCACATCTGCCGATCTACAT